AAAAAAAAATATTTTAAAAAAAAAAAAAAAAAAAAAAAGACAAAAAAATCATGGTTGGGAGCAGCTGCTCCAGGTGCAACCTGCTGTAAACCAAGAATGTTGTTTCTATTTTTATAGAAGTTTTATACAGCTCCAGGGTGGAGAATATTTATTACCTAAATTATTTCACTGGAAAAAAAAGGCAAGGGTTTTGTAGAATCCTGAATATGATTGTTTTACACATGCAATGATATGCATCATTTGAAACTACTGATTTTTCAGTGGCCTGTTTGCAGCCCAACAAACTGCTAGATGGGGATGGATTAATGCTGTGAACCATTGGAGGAGAGAGCTGTGCTCTAGGGTCTCTACAGTCACTCTTATCTGGTCCCCCTTTGCACCCCACTTACTGTACTATCTGAGACCTTGCTTCATTTCCCTTTTGACCCTGCATTCTGGCCTGTTGCTTTAATTGGTTGTTTCAGTTGCCTTAGCTTTAGGATTTTTAGTTTTTGTATTCTAATAGCGTGTCCCCAGCACTGCAACCTATGGATCAAACTCAGCCCTAGTCTAAATAGATGCAACTTACATTGACCTAAATTGGAAATGTATCTATTTATGCCAGAGGTTCAGTTTGCCCCTGTTATTCTTCTTAAACAATGTGATTATATCCCATAGTAGCAGCCTCCTGGGCTAGCTCTTGTGCCTTACTGGCATAACTATAGTGCAAGTATTGCCAAAGTAAATCTATGCAGGTTAAATCCTAAGGACCTGATCCTCAGGTGGTGAGAATCAGCATTGACACCACCTGAAAATCTGGCCGTGTGTGTGTGTTTCATCTTCACATTGGTGTGTCCAAGTATCTGTTGCCAAAGTTAATAAATGCATCAAGTCTGTGATGAGAGGAAATTTTACCACTGGTAACGCAGCTGATCATTTAGATTCAGCTTGTCCATGATTGCTTGGTGGCAGCTGCCAAAGACTGTTGGGATTTCTGCCTGAAGTGAGTTTTCTTCCTTGCTGTATTTTTTTTTTTTTTTTTTCTGATTCCCCTCATGCTTTCATTCTATTGGAAATTAAAACAGTCAGCTGTTTTTTTTTAAACTCAGTAGAACAAATTGAGCAAAAACAATACTGTACGAGTTAGCATCTCATTGTGACTAAGTCTGGCAAAATCACTCTGAACAACTGTTTAGAAATATTGTAAATGGCAAATTTCCCAGAACAAAAAAAAATGCATGCTGGCTAAGGCTACTAAACATAGACTTGGAAGGGAGGAGAAAGGGGTTAAGAACTTGAGGCAGCAGAATTATGTGGGATATATTTGTCTTTCCTGCTAATACTTAAACGTTGGAAGCTAGCACCAAATATGCACCTATGTTCTTTTCTGAAATTCTTTTATTTTGTTGCTATTGGGTGTAGAGTTAAGTCGGTTCAAATATCTACAGGATTTACTTAAGTAGCCATATGGGCAAAGTATTCTCTGTGTATAAACCAAAGAATCCACATAAGATGTCTGCTGAAACACAGAACTCCAAACTGCATGTGTACTGTACATGTCTTTGTGAATAAGTGTACTCCATATTAAAGAGAGTGGTGATGGGGAGAGTTGGGGGATCTGCCTGCTTTGCAGACTTTCAAAGGGCATTTTATTCTACTTGGCATACCATAGTAAGAAAGAATTAAGGGTGTCTATGTTCTCAACCTGTGCTAGGTATTAAACTGGATCTACTGCAAACCTGCTCTTGGATTAGATTTTTCAGCACCTCAGTAATGGAATCTAATATTAGATATCTTCTCATAGTTTAGCTTCTGTGTCCAATAATACAGAGCTTTCATTTATTAGAAAATGCCAGATACTTACTTATTACAATTTTAACCTAAGCAAAATGAGGATTGGAGCTTTCCAAAAGAGTTGCAAAGAATTATAGGAAATATCTTTTGTTTCAACAGAGATAATAGTCCCGTAGGTTAAATTTATCTGGAAAGTTTAATTAGTACCTCAGACAATTAAGTCTAAAGAAAAAGCACTTAATCTAAACAGTAAATGCTGTTACAGAAAACCAGCCTCTGTGCAAG